ACAGTCCAAAGAACATTACTGTGGGTTCGTATAGTCCCTTGGGGGTTATAAATGCGGCCTTCCATTCGTCTCCTTTCTTGATTCGAATATTGTTGTATCCCGCTCTTACGTCCAATTTTGTAAAGTACTTGGCTCCCTTGAGCTTGTCCATCAGGTCGCTGATTAGTGGGAGTGGGTACGCATTTCGGATTGTTCCTTCGTTGAGGGCCCTGTAGTCTTGGACTGGTCGTAGTGTTCTATCTTTCTTTGGAATGTAGAAGAACGGCAATGCAAACGGAGATTTCGACTCCTTGATATACCCCTTCCTCATGTTTTCCTCAATGAATTTTTCTAGCTCAGCTTGTTCTGTGAGATGAGGGATGATCTTATTCCATCTCTTGTCCTTGTGGAAATCGAAGCCTGGCTTTAGATCGATTGCATGGTCCCATGGTTTGGATTCTGGAAACCGTTCTGCGGCCTTCTTCTCGAATATCTTGCGATATTCTTTCACGAAGTTCGGTAGGATTTCGTCCAACGGTACTTCGGGTTTCAGTTTATTTGCTTCAATGGCAATTTCCGCTGATTTTGTGGCTCGTCGGATCTTACTGGTTTCAAACCATTCTGTCAGGACCTTGGAGGGGTTGTGTGTTGGTTTATCGTCATCTATGTCCGTTTCCAAGTATGCCAACAATAATTCTTGATCGTCTGCTTTGAGTGGGTACCCCCACAGGGTTCCTTCGGGGGTGTGATCGTTTGTCAGGCTTTTTGCAGTGACTGTTGTTTCTTAATTCGATCTTGTTTGATAGTCACCTTCCCGGTTTCCCAGTTGATGATTGGGTTGTAATTTCGGATCCAGGGCATTCCAAAGATCACATCATCGGGTCTGATATTGGCCACATACCAGTTGGTGGGTAGCTTGTTGCCGTTGAGGATGAAGTTTCCTTCTACGCGGTGAGTGATGTTTCCGGAGCTGTTGATTGTGTTGTCTGCGTTTTTGAACTGGACCGGTACTGGTAGTAATACCGTTGGGAGTTTGTATTTGTCCACTATTCGTTTGTTGATAATTACTGTGTCGGCTCCTGAGTTGAGGAGGCCTTTGATTTTGACGGTGATTTTTCCCACTTCAATGTAACCGTTGAGTAATAAGGCGTGTCTTCGCCGTTCGGTATTTGATACAAGGGTTACATGAATGGTGGTTGTATTAGGCAGATCCGGCGTCGCCTCGTCCTGCCGCTCTAAAAATCCTCTGTTTCGTCGATTACAGTAGCGTTGACTTCGGCTTCGGAATCGTTGGGAGGGTCGTCTTCTTGGTCCTCCCTCATGGCACGAATCTTCTGCTGTGCCAGCTTTCTTTCTTCTTGGCTGGGCAGAATCGTGCTAGGTGCTTTCCTTTCTTGCAATAGAAGCATAATCCCTTGCTTCGTAGGTCTTGTTCTTCTTCCGCAGAGAGTCGGTTGACTTCTCCGTTTGATCTTTCTGTGGTTGTGGCTTTAACCACCTTCGTCTTGAACCTTGGTTTGGTTCCAAGAATCTTGTCCATGTCATTCTTCATCTTCCAGTTCCTGTCGACATCGATGGCTCGCACCATCCATGTGTTGAGGTCTGCAGGTACCGTGGCCATGTCCAGGATCTTGTTGCGTACTGGAGCATCGAGGGATTGTCGGTACCATGCTAGTTGGGCGCGTGGTTCCGTGATGAGCGCCTTCGTGATTAGGTCCATAAAGGTTCCATTGAAGGCGTCGATAGACTCGTAATCCTTCGATGTCAGAGTACGCAGCCTGTTGGCAGCATGCATCTCCTCATTGATAGGCGTGAAGGTAGCAAGTAGAGCTGCAAGGAAATTTCTCCACGTTCCATAGCCCTGTCTATGTCCTGCTGTGTCAATTTCCCGGGCTTGACGTAGGATGGCTGTCTTCCAGATCGCTGCTGTGCCTCCTTCTATGTAGGATAAGGCAGTAGTGATCATAGTTTGGTTGTCTGGGAAGTCGATGGGTCGTGCGTCAAATAGCAGAAGTAGGGCTTGTACAGATGTGTCGAGCTTGTCCCGGTCTCCATTGAAGGGTTCTGGTAGTTTAACGTTTCCTTTTCCTCGCAGTGGCATGTAACCACCCAGAGGTCCTTGGGGGATATTTCCGCCTGGATTGGCGGGTGGTCCTCCTCCGGGGGGTCCTTGCTGTGGTCCCCCTCCTGGGGGTCCTGGTCCTGGCAACCCTCTTCCTTGCCCTGGAGCCGGTGGTGGATTCCCCAGGGGGTCGGGAGATGGGTATCTCGTGATTCCTGATAGTCGAGGCAGTACTGTCGACGTCCATGCCGCTGCTGAAGTGCTTGCATTTGTGGGGTTTGCGCTTAGAGCAAAGCTTGGCACTCCTCTTCGTTCAAAACTCCATTGGGTATCTTCCGTCCTTCGTTGGAGTGCTCTTGCCGCTTCTTCGTCGTGCCGTCTCCTTATTTCTCCCCAGTCAAAGTTCAAGGGGCTTCTTCCTGACTCGTGGTCGGATTCTTCTTCTGGCTGCACTGGTTCGGTGATGGTGGTCCTTACCACCTCTGTTTCTGTAACCGTTGCCATTTCTGGTTCTGGCTCCTTGGATTCGGGGGTTACGTCTGGTTGTTTACCTGTGCGACTTGTTCCTGGGATTGGGGCCGTTACTGGTTCTTCCTTGGTGGTCAAGGATCTGGGTGTGAGCCTTGGCGAGTCTTTTGCTCGTTGTCTTGAGGTGGTTCTAATCATCTTGGCCGGTTTCGGTGGCATAGGTTGGGATTGTTCCTGGGTTCGCAGTGGTTTCCACAACCGTTCGAGGCCTGTGGGATATTGTGCTGCGAATAGTTCTTCCTGTAGTTCTGAGACTGGTTCGTATGGAGGTTCTAATTCTGGTGATTTGTACTTTCGTGCCGCCCAGTATCTGATGGGACAGCGTTGCGTGGTGCACCGTTGATATCCTCTTCTAGTAATGTGATAGTCGGCAGTGTTGGTCGGGTTGAAGATGTGGGCGTAGTCTTTGCACGATCTATCGGGTTCTTCGCTCGCTTCAATTGACATTCAAATATTCTTGAACCGTTTCGAGAGCGATGCGAACTCGCTTGAGTGCTTTGAGGCGGTTGGGGTAGTCCGGATGTATGAAGTTACCCCTAAAGTTGAATACGGATTGTTCAAGATCGGCTACGTCGAACTGAAGGCGTTGCACGAGTTTGGTGATTGGGTCGTGCGCGTGAAGAGGTAGTTCAATAGGTTCTTCGTCCACGTCTGGAACTCCGTAGAATTCACTGAGAGTATCGTCCAGGTCTGTGAGTTGCTGATGGAGTGTTTCCAGTTCAAGTGCTCCAAATCTTTCCACTAAAATGGGTTCGGCCTGGAGTGCGTTCAAGTTTTCTTCTCCTTGCCTCAGGGCCCTCCTAAAAGTGTAGTACTCTTCGATAGTGTCTTCGCTTGATCATTCTTCTGCTTGAGCCTGTACCGCAGTTCTCTCTTCGTCCTCGTTGATTATTGTGTCGAAGGGAGTATGGGGCTCAGGTGCGGGGCTATGGATTTCCACGCGAAGATTGGGTCGTCCGTGAAGAGGGGTCCTTGGCAATAGAATGAGGGGGGTTCCAGGGGCAGCGTATAGGTGCGAGTTGCGGGAGTTTTCCCTATGGCTTGTTTCCAAACTTGCGTATTGCTGAACGATATCCGTGATGTCTGACGTTTATACTGTGTTCTGCGTTCGAGCAGTACACAGCCTTCCTTGGTCCTAGATAGATACTCTGCACTTTATAGAAGTGGAGGGTTCGAGACTTGAATCTAATGTTACGTCTGAGGGCTTATTCCGGCTGGAATACGACCTAGGCGCCTTGTGGTTACGGTGGCGATGCTCAGAGCGCTTGTGTGCTATCGAGCGAGTGTGCGAGCGACAGAGAGTAGATTGCGCGTAGTCAGGTAGACGTAGTAGTACAAAGGAGATTCAAGTCTGGGGAGGGAGCGCTCTAGGGCGTCGTCCTTATATACAGGGGCGAGAGTGGGGAGTCACATTATCTACGAGTCATCGCCAGTCTGCATGACACAGTCCTAGTCGTAGCGACACATTGTGACTAGGTACCGCAGGAGGAGTCAGGACGAGTACACGATGAGTGGCGATGAGTATGTATGAGTCAGAGAGTACAGCATACGTATTTAATGGGTCTGCATATCGGGGGAGCGGGGGTTATGGATGGAAATTAAATGGGGGGCGACGTACTAGCGTTCATTATCGTATAAGGCTGGTTGAGGGTCCGGTTCACTTCGCGGGTAGAGCTGCAATGATCTGGAGCCGTGAGCCGGGGATCACGAGCCGGGCGGCTCCAGCTCTTTCCGGCTCCGGCTCCCAGCGGCTCCGGATCAAAGGGGCTGAAAATTGGCGGATCTGTGGCTCGATCCACGGATTATCCGCCGATTCTCGAGCAATATGTGTATATATACTACAAAAGCTATGTCAGTCAAAAGCCATTTGAAGCAGCTTTCTAATGATATAACATGTGTGTTATTTGGTGTAAAAGTGACCGAGGTATTGATACAATACTACTTCCTTTCACTTGCGGCGCTTTTGGCGCCTGCATCCGGCGTCTGCCCGCGGGAATCCGTCCCGATTGGGCAATGTTCGGATTCGAACGCGGCGTTTCGCGCGTCACTTGCCTGCCTCTATCCTCGCTCGTTCTCCACTTATCCTCCACCCTCAGTCGATGCGGGGTCATCGCGCGCGTGCGCAGGGCCGTTCTCAAGCCCAGGAGTTGTATCATGGTGTCGCGGTGAGCTCCCGCGGCCCCGATCTCTTCTGGTGAGTTCTCCGCACCTCGCGCGTCCCTGCCCATCTCGCGCTCACGCTCACGCTCGTCCGCGCGCGTTGCCCCTTGTCCGCGTCGCGCTCGTCCACATCTCCGCCTCGCCATCCCCCGGTTTGCCCCTGGCTCGCCCCCTGCTCCTCCGGCTCGCGTCGCCCTCCGCCTGCGCTGCCCTTCGCCTCCTTCACCGTGTCCCTGCCCTCCGCCTCATCCACGGATCCGCCTCGCGTCGCCCACCACCTGGCACCACCTCCGCGTCTCCCGCATCTCACGTCTCGCCCGCATCACCCACGTCTCGCCCGCGTCGCCCTCGCCCGCAACCCGCATTGCCCACGTCCCCCACCTGCCTCATCTCGCCCGATCCTTGAGTGCTCCCCGCCTTCTCTGCTCCCCGCGTCACCTCCCCCTCCCAGGTTCCAGCCGTGCTGCCCTCGCGCTGGCCCTCTTCACTCTTCAAGCCCTCCACACGTCGCCCTCGCGCCCTCCACGCCCCCGCGTCTCGTCCCTCTGGTGCGCGGTTGCGGCCGCGCTGGCCCTCTTCAAGCCCTCAGGCAGCCGTGCTGACGGCGCCCCAGCCTCCCGCCCTCCCGCCCGCGCCCTCACGTCCGCCTTGGTCGTCTCCCCACCACGTCTCCTCCGCCTCTTTCCCCGCCCACGTTGCCCACGTTGCCCGAGGTCCTCTGTCCTCGCGGCATTATCACGCTCGCGCGCGCGGCTGTTTGGGGCTGCGGTGAGCTCCCGCGGCCCTCATCTCCCCTAGTGAGTCCTTCCCTGCCCCTCTGCCCCCCGCGTTGCCTCCCCCTTCCCCCAGATGACCCTCACGCTCGCCCTCTCTGTCCGGCGTCACCAGCGTCGCCCGCGTCGCCCGCTTTCCCCCGCGTCTCCCGCGATCCCCACCTTGCCACCGTCGCCCACCGCGCGCTTTGCCGAGTCGCCCGCATCGCTCACCTCGCCCACCACCTCACCACATGCCGCTGCGTCGACCTCATCCGCCGAGTCGTCCTCGTTCAGCCGCAGCCCCACCTCCCCCGCGTCTTCTGCGACTTGCCCGCCGTGTCCTCCACCTGCGCCTCACCACCTCGTACAAGCCCTCCGGTCTGCCCACCTCCACGCCGCCCATCTCATCGCCCACGCTGCCCGTTCCACTCCCGCGTCACCTACCCACCTCGCCACCTTGGGCCTCACCCGCGACATTCTTGCTCCGTTGCGTCCCCACCGTCCCGCCCCAGCACCACCGTTGTCTAACCACCTCACCCGCGTTGCCCATGGCCCACCCCCGCCTCACCCGCATCCCCTGCCTCGTCCATCTCGTCCGCACCGCCTCGCCCGCCTCATCACCGTCTCGCGGCTGCGTCCGTGGTTGCATCCTCCGCATTGCCCGCCTAGCCCGCGCCCACCTCACCCATCACTCGCCCCCTCGCCCGCATTGTGCCCGTCCATCTTGCCCGCATTGCCGCCTCCCCTCCACATTGTAGTTGTATGTCTGTAGCCACTAGTACACCTACTGAATGTATGTAGAGTAGTAATTCTGTTAATGAAACACCCCTCTACTTGATTTTAATGACTATGGATGCAATATCATACCCTTAAACAACATATCTGGGTGAGAATGATCCGCAAAAGCAGCTGAGCTGCACCGAGCCACAGACCACGGCTCATTTTGCGGCTCGATCCACGGATTGCGGCTCCAGATCGCGCGGCTCCGGCTCTTCCAGCGGCTCTGATCCATGCGGATCTGGATCAAGCCCCCGGAAGTCACCTGATCCGTGGGTTCGGATCCGGATCATCCGTGGATCGATCTCCAAACAGCCTTATTATCGTAACAGCGTGCGCCAAAGACGACACACTACCATGCATGTGGATGACTGTACAGCGTATGATGACATGCAGTGTGCAGGTGATAACAATGCGTGTGTGGAGGACAACATGGACGGGCCATTCTGACGCAGGCAGAGAGCGTGAGTGCGGACTCGGGCGGACTCGGTGGAGGGTGGACGATGTGGCAGGCAGCAGACATGGCAGATGTGGATAACGCGCAGATGTGGAGGAAGCCCGGAGAGCGTGGAGGACGTGTGGAGGACGTGGAGGACACGAGAGTGGGTGAGGGAAGAGGCGGGCCAGGGGACGGGAGGGTGGAGGTCGAGGACGGGAGGATGTGGAGGACGTGGCAGACATGGCACAGTGGAGGGGAGAATATAATATGTGCATTGGTATTCCTACGTAGACACCCTTAATTAGCATTACCCTGGGCCTCACGACGCGCGCGCGCAGCCTTCTTGTCCTTCAGGAAGTCCACCATCTCAGTCTCGGGAACCAACGCAGGGATCTGGGCCCAGGAGCCAATGATCGTGTTCGCGCGAACTGAGTCATTGCCCATCGAGTGACGAAGCCACGAGACCGTGAGGCGACCACGTGAGAACACCCTCTCTGCATCTGTGGATGTAGCCGAGGGGATTAAGGGCAATTCAGATGGAAGCACGAATGAATAAAGCAGGCGGACATACCTGGGATGGATAAATAATCAACGGCCATGCGTGCGAGGTGTACATCCTCCGTGCCATTCCCCATGGCCACATTCCAATATGCGAGAGCATTGTCAGCGTTCGGAATTGGGCTCGAGTCGAGCCAGGCCTGAAGTGCGTCCACATCAGGCTTGTTGTGTGACGCACTTCGAGAGCTGATGTTCGCGAAGAGCTGTAAGCAACTAAGTCAGTGCGCGCATATATAAATATGTAGCAAAGAACGTACCGCGAGACTCTCCTCGCGAGCTTGATTGACCGCAGCCAAAGAGGATTTGCCCTTCTGCTTGCGCGAGCTGCTAGCAGTGCTCAATTCTTCAGTGGCTAGAGGGTCGTTTGGGGAGGGCTTGTAGTACTTGAGCCAGACCTCCGTGATGACGTGTCGAGCTTCCGAAACCCAGGTGTTGTCCCATTCAGCATCGTCAAAGTACTTCATCTTATAAGGGGGGCTGAGCACTGCACGCAGCACAGACGTAAGTCCTTCTGGGACTGTACACACATGGGGAAGGACGTACTCATGGCAATCCGGTAGAGCGGTGTGTCGTCCGTCTTGCTGTAGTACTTGTCGAGTATGCCGCGTGCAAGGGCAGCACTCTGTCGGATTACGGGGTGTACATCCTCACGGGTTGCATAGCAGTCGACATGTAAAGTAAGCTTATCCATGTATGGGATTACCACATGCAGGAGGGCCTTGTTGCTCGTCGAGACCTCAAGAGTGGCAACGAGGAAAGGCTGTAGCATCAAAATGAGCATTGCGTACTCGTGCGAGGCAGTAGATAAACATTTACTTACATCCATGAACCGGTGGAGTTGCTCGATAAGCAACCAGTCTTCGTCTTCCAGCTTGAACCGAAGAAGGTGGATACCGCCTGGCCGGTTGAACTGCCGCATGACACAAACGTTGCCGAGAACCTCCTTCATCTCAAGCGCACGCTTCAGAACCCTGATGATGGAGTTCCAGCGGGTCTTGACGAGATGGACGAGGATGATGGCACTGAGGCTGTGCGCCTCTGCGAGCTGATGAAGTTCCTCACGGACGGCAGGGTTGTGCCAGACTGTCTGTGAGAGCTGCAAGACCTGAGCGATAGACTGTGAGCTAGTCGAACGTGTAGCAATCGCACCTGAGATCTCACCTTATGCAGAGCTTCAACAGCCTCCTTGATCTCCTCTGGAGTGGTGGAGCTGTTTGAGTTCTCAAGCATGTCGATCAGCTCCGCATTGGCATGCTCGCGGTCCGTGTCCTCTTCATTGTCATCCTCTGCCTCGTCTTCATTGTCATCCTCTGCCTCGTCCTCAGAGACGTCCGAGGCATCAGAGTCCGTATCAGAGTCTTTTTCCTTGTTCTTGCGTGAACGAGCCTTTTGAAACGGCTTTAACGCGGCCTGTCCAGTGCAGAATGAGGTTAAAATACGTTGCATTATCGACTACATTGTACACGTACCTTACAGACAAGGTTCAAGATATGCCCGAAGCACCGCACTTGCCCCCGGCCGATACGCAACTCTGGGTACGTCTCGCGCAGGACACGCATCATAGCCGTGTTGACCTCCGCATTGTCAGAGGTCACAGCCAAGACCTAAAACCAGAACAGTATCAGCTCAATATGGCAGCGATAATCAGTGCACGTTTGGAGCTTATGCGCACCTTGTCCAAGATCCCAAAGCGGCGGAGAACATCGGCGAGCATCTTGCCGAGATAGTCGGCTGTATGAGCCTTGAATAGTCTGTGCGGGAGTGGCGGATCAGTGATGCACATGAACGAGAACGCAAAGGACTTACTTCGCGAAGTCAAGCGTGATATGCTTGATCTCACGCTCTTCACGCCAGTGCACCGTAATCCCTAAGTAGGAGATTACATTTGGTGCAGTCCACCCGTCGAAGCAGACATGAACAGCACCCTTGATAGACTAGGAAGTCGTCAGCATCCATTTGCAAGCCCGTTCCAGGTTGAGAGCTTAGAAAACTTACCTTGAGGAAGGCGACACAGCGGTACTCCGCCTCGAGGTAAATATCACGAATATCTTTGGAGACGATCGCACACGTCGGGACCTTCACGCGCGCGTAGAGCATCGCGCAGATAGTGCGGAACTCTTCGTCCTCAACAACCGTGAAAGGACGCTTGCGGCGTGCACATCACATCGCACAGAGATAGCGCATGCGATGTGGTGTGTACGTCACACCAGCCGCGAACCTCTGGATGACGTCAGTCTCCTTGTTGAACGCTGCCGGATTGCATTTCTTCACGTGCCGACCGAGGTTCCCTGTCGATTCTTCATACGCAACGTGGGACACGGACTTTAGAGGGTGGCTGTATCCGAAAACAAGATCAGCACACACTGACAGACTCGTAGTAGTAGAAGCCAGGAGAAACTTACGCCTTGCAGTAAAACCTATGTACAACCTCGTCCTTCTGGTTACGTTCAATCGTGGGGGGTATGTTGAAATGGTCGTAATAGGGTGAGTCCCACACCTGCATGAGACGGTCTGTCCAAGCGACATCGTGAATATGGATCCGATGACGCATGCGTACTAGCAAAGGTATTGTGCTTACCAAGTGTCTCCTCAGCGGTCAGACCCTCACTTGGTAGGAGTGGGCCATTACTGGCAGAAAACGATTAATGAGATGTGGAATATAATGGGAAGATATGAGAGACCTTAATAAGCTATATTGAACACCACTACTATCATTACAGACAAACAAGAACAGAATATATAGCAGAAGTGCAAACATTGTGAAAGCTAGTACTAAAGTGCTTACTATGCAGATAAAATCCAATACAGTACAACACCCTGTGTTATAGCTGCCCTTCTGGATATAGTCAAGATTTTAGGTGCTGTATTTGATTTTACAGAGACAGAGTACACACTATTGTTCTCTATTTCTAGACCACCTGAAGAGGGAACTAGGGTCAACAAAGGGGTTGCAGTCATATAGGCCTTCTACATAGCTTTCTGATGTATATACAATCACCCCATATCCAAAGTTAGTAGGCACCAGTGATAACATCTACACTGTGCCTTATCTAATGGATATAAAGTCGAGCTGTAGGTAGATTAGTAACACACTCTATAGTAGCTGCTTTCATGAATATAATCAGGATTTCAGACAATTGATTGGATTTTACAAAACCTGAATACCCATTGTTACAACCAGGCCTGCATAGCACAGCCACATGTAGAAAAAAGCGGCACTACCAGGGATTGAACCCAAGGCTCCTGGGTCCCCCACCCAGGTGCTGTACCAGCTGAGCTGAGCTGAGTTTGAAAAAGGCATTCAAAATAGGCACCTAGCTGCACTTTCAGCCACTGGCAGCTGTGGAAGGGGCAGGAGGGGGCAAACAGTGGCAAACAGTGTCCATATATGGCAGAGAGGCATGGGAGAGGCTGCTGACAAAGATTGGGGAGCACAGCCCCACCAAAAGAGGGTGGATTGTAGCCAGGGCTTGTGGATGACAATTTTAGGTGGCTAGGTGTGGCTTGCAGTAGCTGGCAGTGGTGGCTGTGGCTGAGAGCGAACATAGGCGCCCAGTAGCGCTGAGATGGGCTGGGTGGCCAGTCCCAGACTCTAAACATGCTGTTATGGGCTCAAAGCATACAAAATGATAAACAAAGTACATAGATCATGTGGGCAGTGCTACTAGTACCTATCTACCAAAAATGAAGCAGATCCAACCATGGGAAAGGGATGGATGGCATGCAAGGCTTGTGGATGTAGCAGTGCCGTGGGCGCCTCTGAAATAGACGCCCATGAGCGCTGTGCTAACCCACATCATCAGTATGTGTACAGAGGGGCCAAAAATGCGAAGTGGGGGATAAATGGGGGTCTACAGAAAGAGCACACACCTGGAAGCAATCTAGCAGTGTTCTGAGAGTGATAGAGAATAGGAAGGGAGGCATAGTGATGTCAAAGTACCATGGTGATGAGCAACTAGACAAACAACACTTACCTAACACCCACAGACACCAAAGCTTACCAGAGAGTTGAAGAGAGTGCTGAATCCATCTCACACAAACTCGGTCTGTGCTCCAACGACCAGGCCACCCGAAATGGCAATGTCGCAGGCATCCCAGGCTCAAGACCACCGCTCTAAATCGGTGCACCGAGTAGGCATGGTACAGGAGCACAGGGACTGGGGGGTGGGGGGCATCCTCCCACTCATAAGCACTGACTTTGGCCAAAAGCCAGGCAACAGAGGTGAAGGGTGGATGAG